GGCGCAGACGGAAGGGACATACTTGGGCTTAGGGATGGCTGCCGTCTCCCCACAGGGGCTCTGTGCAGGGACGGGACATGGCCTCGGGCCTCGATGGTGGTGCGGGGACAGCCCCACCACCTCGCGTGGGGCTGGAGGCTCTGTCCTGAGGGGCAGAAGGAGACGGGGGTGAGCGAGGGTGGAGGCAGCAGGGTCCTGTCCCACACAGCTGCTCCAAACCCCGTAGCTGAGTGTGATACTGAGGTTGTCGCTGTTGTCCCTGTCCCTCCTACAGGAACTCTCGTTTCCCCCATCCCACCCAGAGCAAAACTGCACCATTGTCGCCCTGCTTGAATACCGACAGCCTTTTTATTTTTAATCAATGAAAAGTTTAAAAATACGGTGTTACACCCTCTCCTGAGCAAAGGCAGCAGAAGGGGAACAACGGGATTAGGTTTTAACCCCCCCGTGACATGAGTTTCATGACGGTGTGATTGAACAGCTTCGCCTCAGCGATCGCTGAATAAAACCAGACAAATAAACACCAAACTCATGAGAATGAGCTTCAATGAGAACACCTTTAAAAAATTACACTTTAGGCACAAGATCATCCAGGGACCTAAAACAACTCCTCTGGGGGACTTCTAAGCTTGCTTTGTGCCCGAGAGCTGCAACCTGCAAAGCTTGGTATCCCGGTGTGCGCTGACAGGGAGAGGGAGTCCTGATTGCCGGGGCTGTAAACGATCCCCGAGTCAGTTTTCATTGTGGGAACACACCCAGTAACGCTGACATTTCCATCTCTCCCCATTAATCCGTTTTTAAACCCGCTTCTAGTTAACCAGATGCTTCTCCCACTACCAGATGCCCACCAAAGGCAGCAAGAAACAAGCAATAACTAACTTAAGATAACTTACCCACTGTCAAATTGGGGATCTCCACCCTGCGGGTGGGGCAAGATCAAGGCGTACCTGCACACTAAAAAGGTCAGAAAATAGTTGCGTATCAGCTCATCCCATCCGCATATCAGCAATATCTCACCGAAGACACCATGCGCTTTGCAGATCAAAGCACCGGGCTATTTACATTTCAATAAGGCCCTGAACAAACAGATGTGTGGGTTGATACCCCTCTTTCTTTGCTCCATAGGAAGGCTGAAAAGTTTCACATTTCCAATGGAATAACAACTTCCACGGGCGGTTTTTAAGCCCTCGGGTTTGTGGCCCTATTGAAGAGAGGGTTTAGATTCGCATGCTCGCTCTCCTGAGATCCTCCACAGAGAGGGAGGGCTTAAAATGAGGGGATTTCATTAAAGCCACCTGTGGATCCCCGATCTGCGTGATCCCAGCCCTCTGGTCTCTGTTTAGGACCCTGGATGGTGCCTTTCATGCAGGTTTAGCCAAACTACAGCAAAAACCCAGGAGATCAGGGCCATCTTTCCCCATCAGGGCCAACACAGCAGCAAACCCGCTCCGAAGGGCAAGGACCTGCAACGCCAAAGCACGCGAGCAGGAGCGGTGCCGATAATGAACACTACAGTGGGGAAAATCTTCTATAATGGAAGTTTTTTGTGGATGAGGTGGGAAAGGGATGCTTAATCATCCCTAAAAGTCAGCTGGGGAAAGCAGGGGCTTTGGGTGTCGGCGTGATGCCCATGGGTTTGCATTGTGGCATTTTGAGATGGTTTCTTGCGCAGATGGCGAGTGGGTAAGCCACTCAGCACACCTGAGCGGGGAGGCAGGCGAGCTGTTGCTTCCCATCCTTTCCTTATCGGGCTTGGATGGCTTTTTATTCCACTTGGCAGCAGGAAATAAAACATTAGAGGGACAGACATCTCTGCCAGCCTTGGAGGACAGCAGAGATGTCCTCCGGGAGGTGGGCAGCCGGGAGGTGACGTCCCTTCCAGCGAGCAGCTTTGGCAGCTCTCAAGAAATTCCACAAGGGGTTTTCTTCTGGCTCCCCTGAGCCATTTTCTTACAATCCGACACCACATCCCGAATTCTCTCCCGTAGAAGTGTGGTTAATTACAGAGGGTGGAGCCCTGGGTACACGCCTGATACCGTGCGTTTGTGTGTGTGTTTGCTCTGGCCCCACGGTTTCGCAGGGCAGATAGCAGCTTTTGTTTCTTATCTCCGCCGGTTTTCTGCCTCCCTTGTGTCTTTCTATCATGTCTCAGTTATGGTGATTAAATAAACTGTATTCGAAAAGCATTCCAAGTCAGGTTTCCATGGCGTTTCCAGCCTTCACTGCTGATGATTTAATTTCACGGGCCCCTTGCCCACACACTCCCGGGGTCTCCTGTGCCCTGAGGGCAGGACAGGAAAACTACAGACCCACGAAATGAGACCGCGGCGTTCGCCGTCCTCCCTTTGCCTCCCCTTGCCATTTGGCGTGGCCAGATTTGGATGAAGACATGGATCTGAGGAGGCAATTGCAAGGGAAAGACCCAAGAGAAACCATCACTGAGGTTGCAGGGCGTGAGTTGGCAAAACCAAGCACCCACTTGAGACAACACCAAGGCCAAAGTGCCGCCTCTGCAGCTGGAACAAGGATGCAACGACCTCCGCGGTGCCAGCTCGGCACCTCCTGGGCATAAACGGCTTTTGTCCTGTCTCTTCAGCCACCGAATCCCACAACTTTTAAAACCACAGCCGAGACCTCGACTGGCCTCATCCAGAAATGCATCAGCCCGAGATGGAGACAGCTTCGCGCCCAGCCAACAAGCAGAGGCAAGATGACGGAGGCAGCATCGCTGCCGGCCGTGCTGGCAGCACACCGCTGCGGGGAAACGCGTGTTTCTTGTAAAGGGGAAGGATGAGAACATTCTCCTTCACCGAGGGGCCACTCGGGGAGACCTGCTCTGCGATGAATAGCACCGTCAGCGCAGATAGAGGAGGGGGTGGACCTCGCCATCTATATAAAGCAAACCCGCTACGCCGGCAGTCTCGGAGCTGCAAAGTCCAGGCAGGGTAAGGAGAGGGGGGATTTTATTGCCCTGTTATTTTATCAGACAGCTCAGGGGGTGGCGGAGGGCGGCTGCAGACGGTGAGCTTCTCCATCAGCCCCGGGCAGGACAACCACTGTGTCCCCATACACGTCCCTGCCAAGCGCTGCATCCCAAAACCGGAGTCCAAAGGCCCCACTGGGCGTCACCTGTGTGCACTCGGGCACAGTGATACCTTCTCAGTGCTCTATGTCCACGGTGACACTAATGTCACCATGCGGTGCTGCCAGGGTGCACCCGAGGGGCTCCGTGCCCTCGGCGCCGGCATGGGGGCAGCATCTGTCCTACCCCCAGGGTGCTGCTCATCGCCCACCCTTGCTTTTCCTCCTCCAGGGCCAGCCCGAGGATGAAGAATCTCCTCTTTGTCTTGCTCTTGGCGTGCGGTAAGTGCCCCGGTTTCACCGGGCTAGGCTGGGATCTTGTCTGCATGGCAAAAAAGACGTACAAACCCAGAGTCTTTGTGCACAATTCAGGCTTTTGTTTATATTTTGCAGTTTCTCTCTAATGCTTTGTGTAGCACTGCTGTAGTCCTGGAGGTCTTTGTGACGGTGAGGCTTTGAGATGCTGAGATCCGTAGTTACTTTAAGAGACCCTGGAGTCTGTTGTCACCTGCTTTCCTGCCTGTGCCAAGCCCACGGCTGATCCCGGCAATGTGGCATTGCCGGTTGCAGGATGCAAGCGTGGCACAGCCTGTACAGAGAGCAGTAATATCTTCTGCCTGACTGAATCAGGTAGCTGCAGAAACCAGACATAACTCTGAGGGGTTTTTTTGGGGGCTTCTCATGGTTCACATGCCTGAAAGCATGTATTTCCAACAATGCCAGACAATTCCTCTGCCTGGTGCGAGGCACAGGGAATGCTGCCTGTCTCCTCACTCGGCACCGGTGCGAGCCCGTCCCTCTGCCCCTCCGCAGGGCTGCTGCTGGCTCGTGGCAGCGTTTTGGAGCTGGAGCGGATGATCAAGTCGGCCACGGGGAAAAGCGCCCTGCTCTCCTACAGCTGGTACGGGTGTTTCTGCGGCATCGGGGGCAGAGGGACCCCAGTAGACTCCACAGACTGGTGAGTACCTGGAAAAGCATCGCCAGTTGCCGCCCCGGTGCAGGGTGCACAGGGGTCCCTAGGAAACCTCCTCGCTGGCAGCCTGCTGGTGCTGGTGTGCTCTGAGAGGGGGTTTTGAGCCATTCCCCGGCCATGTCTTGGTGCTGCCTTGTCATCCCCTCCTTCCAGTCACCTTAAATTTGAGGCTGGACCTTCCTTTACCTTCCAAGTGTGGTGAGGGAAGGTTCGGGGGCAGCAGTTTGACATGGTGTCCCCCACAGGTGCTGCCATGCCCACGACTGCTGCTACAGAAAGCTGAGAGAGGGCCAGTGCAGACCCCTGATAACCCCATACCACTTCGACGACGCCGATGGAGACATCATCTGCAGTGAGTACCACCGAGCGGGGGGTCCCACGGAGGTGGGGAACCAGTGCTGCTCCCTGTGACACCCCAGCCCTGGAGCAGGGTACACAGGAGGGCATCCCCCCCGGGGGTGAAACCAGCCTGATGCCCGGTCGGATGCAGCGTACGATAAATAAATGGGCATTGCAAGGGATGCGGGCAGGCTGGAGAGGACGATCACCGGGACATGCTTCTTCATGCGCTTCCCCTGGGCAGCTCCAGGCATTGGGGGTGCTCCAAGGGGACCCCATCACCGACGCCAGGTGGAAAAGCCACCGCAGAGCACCATGGTTTTTCCCCACAGGTAACGAGCAGAGCTGGTGCAAGAGAGAGACCTGCCTATGCGACAAGGCGGTGGCTTCATGCTTCGCGAGTGCTTTGCATTCCTACAATAAATCCTACCGCTTCTATTTCAAGCTGAAATGCCGAGGAAGTAAGCTCCAGTGCTGAGGAGGGGAAATCTGCGCTCAGGGTTGCAGATTTTGACTGGTTTTCCCCTTGCTATGGAAAGAAAAGCCTGATGTGGGGGCTGAACAGAGCCGGAGCCATTAAGGCTCCCCGCAAGGTGATGCTCAGGGTGAGGAAGGGCACGCACACAGTTCCCAGAAAGACATGTCAGCTTCCATTTTTTGGTCTCTTCCTCCTCTCTTTTCTCCCTTGATTTCATTTCCCAGCAAAGATAATTAAATAAAAGGTATTTGAAATGATTCTCCATGGTGTTTTTCTCTAAGAGACACTGAGATTGAGGCACTGCAATGATGGCATCTGGGCTACTGAGTTTGGGGAGCACTTTTGCATCTCACACCTTAGCTACACCATCTGCCTGACACCCCAATATTTCCATGGTCCCGACAGCAGCCTGAAAAAGCCAAAAGTCTGACAGCGGCTGTAATTCGCAGGTTTATCGCCAGGTCTATCCCGCTGCGGAGCAATATTGCTGCTGCCGGATCCCCAGCTGTAGAGGACCACTTTGCATCGAGAAACGGGAACAAATAAATGCCACCAAGTAAAACCCCCTGGGGTTTGTTAACAAAATAATTCCCCAGTGGCAAGCCCTGATGGCAGTCAGGTTTTTTGGCTTCTCCCAACACCCTCTCCCGCTAGCTGAACTCACTCCAGGAGCTAAAACAAAACGGTGCATTAAGAGGCAGGCGAGATATGGCCAAAAGGTGTTTTTACAGGAATAATGGAAGTGGGAAAATGTGGGACACCATTTGAGATCCTCCTGAGACACTCACTCACGTAAAAATGGTGGCCAAAATTAAGGCTAAAGAATAGTTATCCGCAGAGGAGGGAAGATTTCAAAGCCTCGTCCATTCCAAGGTGGATGCTAATTTAGGAGGGCAGTTAAGTTGGTGACTAAATGGTTTCTCCATAAGGGATGAGTTCTGCATAGGGTTGCAGTGACGAGGTGGAAAAAAATCATAGAGAGAGAAATAAAGGGAAGTTGCATTCACTCATCCCAAAACATCTGTTTTGCTTCATTCTCCTCTCACGGTGGGCGAGCCTTTAACCACCCGGTATCTGTGTAACCCCAGTTCTGGGAACTGCACATTTAAAGATGCTTTTATTGTTGCCCATATACTTTTCCCAAAGAACCGATAACTCGCCCTGAATCACCTTTGCAGCGTGGCAGAGGGACAGTTCCCAAACCGTATGACCACTCAAAAACCCCAAACCCACTTCACTCGTGGCTGCCGGGATGCAAAAGCTGAATCAGGGCTATTATTTCCCCCCGATACGGCACCGTGGTGCTGGGGAGGGCAGAGAAAAAGGCCCTCGGGCATCTCTGGCCAGGGGCAGAGAGTGCTGGCTTCCTCCTCGGGCTGGAAATGATGCTGCTTTGCCGGCTCATCCCATCTGGCGCTGGCCCCCATGTGTGGGGCACGGAGCCGGGGCATTGGGGGGATTTCTTGCATTCCTGTAAAGGGGAAGGACGGCACCTTCTCCTTTGCAGAAAAGCCCAGTCGTCAAGATTTGGGCAAAACGAGCATCCGACACCGGAGAGCAAACCCTATATAAAGCAAGCCCTGCCAGCTGCAGGGCCCTGCAAGCAAGCGGTGCCTTTCCCAAGGTAAGCGGGGATGGAGGAACGCTTTTCCTCCCTTTCCTACCTTAACCAAAAGCCGTGGTGCAAGCGGGGAGCGAGTCCATGCCGGGAAAGCAGGAGCAAAGGAGAAGCTACCCGAGATGCCAGCCCAGAGGCAGAGCGGTGGGGTGCAACCCTCGAGGGCTGATCGTTCCTCCAACTTTTCTTCCTTTCCCTTCATTTTGCTTTTTCCCACCCCTCCTCCATCCGATTGCCATCGCTTCCCATCCCCGACGCAGCAGCGCTTTGTGCCGAAGCGATGGTGACGGGCGCATCCTCGCCCCCCTCATCTCCCCTAATCCCCAGAGGTTGGGAGCATCTCTGGCCCCAGACGAGGGGGGAAGTAAAAAAGAAAGTGGTTGATATAATGGGGAAATTACATAGGTTTGGTTTCCTCTCCCAGGGCTGTCAAAAAGATGAACTCTCTCCTCGCCTTCGCTGTGCTGTTTGCTTGGGGTAAGTGTCCTCGCTTGCACCAGTCCCACGGCTCTCTGTGCAGTTGCATCCATGGAAATTAGGACCAGACTGGTGATTTCTTAACCTTTCCCCATCACCACCTCTCCGAAACACGCAACAACTCTCCTACACTGAGCCAGGGATACGTTTCCTCTCCGTTGCATCTACTCATTTTTAAGACATCACCAGCCTGGTACCAATCTGGGGGCTGGAGGGGTGCGGGGATGCTGCTGGGGAGCCCGGCGTTGGCGTGAGCCCCACTGATTTTCCCCCCCAGTCTTGTCCCCGGCTCGCGGGAGCCTCTGGGAGCTGCACAAGATGATCACGAAGGCAACGGGGAAAAACGCCTTGCTGCATTACTCCTCCTATGGCTGCTACTGCGGCTTGGGGGGCAAAGGGCATCCCAAGGACGCCACGGACAGGTAAGTGCCTGCTTAAAAATCTTCCTGCCCGAACACATTCTTGCATGGTTTCAAATTTGGGGGGTAGGGGAGAAAAAAAACCCAACCCCCAAAGCCTCGAGCTCCTGTACAGATGCTGCCAGCTGCACGATACCTGCTACGACAACCTCCTGAGCTACCGCTGCAACGCCAAGGTGCAGCGCTACCGCTACG